AAATAACCTACCATTTTGCTTTCTTATATAAAGATTTTCTAAAGATTTTCCCCCATGCAAGACTTGTGTATTTCCAGGCTAAACACCTATTTTCTTTCTTTTCTTACCAACGTAGATGGAACAAAGCAGCTCCTAGGAAGGGGACTGTATTCCTTCCCCTTTCTTTGCTTCAGAACCAGAAGGCACTTTGTGTCTGTTACAGGCTGTGATGTATGAAGCAGAAAGAAGATTGATTTCACAAGCTACCTTGTACCTGAAGTAATGAGAGTGGCAAATTACTTGTTCACTGAGCAAACATGACAGGAATGTCATAGAGGCAATTTATATATATGCAAACACATAAGGGTCACATAGGTGTTATTTTACAAAGTGACTTTATCCACCAGAGGGGCACTTCTAAATCTGCAGTAGCTTACACAGAAAAGGCTAAATAAAGCTGCAAATGTCTGCAATGCCTGGGAAATAAAAACTAAGACAACTAATGCATAATATAAGATTCAACACAGCACAGAATATAATTTGAAAAGTTGCATTATTTCTGTACAAGAGACTTAGGGTCAGAAGCAATTGCTACTACTCAATTAGGGTTTCTCTGAAGTAGGAAATAAAATATCAGTTGTAGAAAGAAAAGAATCTGAAGCTAATTTTGTATCAGAAATATTTTTTTCCTAAGCATTTAATAAAGATTCAGCAAAGAAACAGGCATAATACTCATTGTGAATATGTGCATGAAGTGGGTATAGATGTTTGCAGAAGTCAAGTTTCTAAACTTTGTAAATATGTAAAGCAGGAATGAATGAATTCTAAAAAGCTTCCCTCAAACTGATGCTTGTTAATAGGGAAAAAAGAAAGAAAAGGAGAAAGTGAGAAAAAAAACTCTTTGGACCCTTGGAAACCAATGAGAATTTTATTTATATTTAAGCCCTTAAAGGAAGCATGAAAGCTACTATTTCATACATTCTTTCCTCAGCAGTGAAGATTACGTGTGCTTGTGCTCCACCTCAGACAGGAAAGCGAGGCTTTCCACGAGCCGCTTGGGACACGGAGAAGCATTTCTGCTGACACTCCCATCTGCGAAGCTTCTCTGCAGCATCGCATGCATTTTCATCCTGAGAACAAATCCTGCTCTTTTTTTTTTTTTTTTTTTTTTTTTTTTTTTTATTTATTTTTGTCTCTAATCTGGAAAGCAGTGTACCTTGTGATGGCATTGTGGAGCACACATTAGTAGAAAGGAATATTCTGGAGCGAAAGCACCAAAGCCTAAGAATTTATTCACTGTGTGATGGTAGAAGTGAAGAGCTGGTTGCAGTGCAGTCGTCTCACTTAGCTGCCAGCTGCTTGGATTATGCTGGTGCCATGTCTTTGGTTTCATTTTGAATGTGTCCCTAAAACCAAAAAGAAGCTACCTTTCTTTTTCCTTGCCTCTCCACACAAGCTCAGACATGACTGTCTTTCATTTCATTGTTTGAGTGAAAATACTGAGAATTTGCTTAGTTTATTTCCAATATTTGCAGGTTAGAAATAGAAGCATAAAATTTTAGGCATAAATTTTAAGTTTCATTTTCAGATGTAAACTTCTGTAGCATGGCTGTTCTCATATTTGGTCTTATGTGAAATTATTGAAGGCCTTACGGATCATAGTGATGGAAAGGTATTGAAGAAAGGTAAGGCAGGAAGATGTCCCACAGGGAAAGCCATTCAGGTTAATAGCCATAGTCAGTCTGTGCTGCTCTGAATCACCCCTAGGAAAAGCAGACCTCATTTCAGACCTCATTTCTTCTGTTTAACCCAGCCTGTTATGTTAGCGTAATAACAGTCTGACACAGAGGAGCACTGGTAATGAACTAAATTTCCTGGATCCATGTACCAGGCATGGATCAGGGTTGCAGTAGGCTAATAGTTATGTTTCAAAGTCGAGGTCAAATGCTTTGGAGTTTCAGTGCCTTCTGAGTGCTTCCTCATGGGCTGCCTTGGAAATTCACAGAAAATTATGACCAGCACCGTTTGGGAGTCTGGATGGTAATGCAAACACTTGGATACTGGTGTCTTGAAACCTCGGTGGGTTTTTTGGTGCTCACAGCCCCTTCTTCTTGGGTATCTGGTTGTCAGTCTGGCTAGTTGCCTGCTTTGCTTTTCATGTGAATCTGCTTCACCCCCTTTAGTTTCACTGACCACAAATCTGTCATTTTTTATTTCCATGTCTGTGATGCTGCATTGTGGCTTCTGTCCAAAGAAGATTTGTGCCCATATTAGAAGCACTCTCCCTTTCTTGAGGAGCTTCATACCTGCCCTGTGCTCCTGTGCTGCCCATCTGAGCCTGGATCGAGTGCTGTGAATGTCCAACATGCACAACCTCAGGGCTAGTGTTGTGCTGGCCTTTACATTTTGCCATTATCTCCCGTTTTCCTCTAGTTCTTGCTGCTGCATGCTGTGAGTGGTCTAACCACGGAGAGGTCGTTTTTGTGCTTCTGCTGATGGCCTCTCAGGCCTAGCCTAAAAGTGCTGCTTGCACTGACTTTTCAGTTAGCCTGCCCGATTGTGCCTTTTAGGGGACAGCTAGGAGACAAAGTCATGATTTATGTTCTCCTAAAGGTAAATTCAATGAATAAGTAATGCAGAATACTGCAATGGGCTTGTGGTGAAGAAAAAAAAAACATGCTTTTTTTTCAGGACTGTAAAACCTGGCAGGGGCAACAATCTTGGATTTGCTGTGTTGAAGCTGAAACCCATCCTCTGCTGCAGAGTGCTGTAGAGTATCAGGCTCACTGCTGCATGGTGCCAGGCTGTGGGCAGAGGTCTCTCTTCCTCTGCCTCTGCTCCGAGAGGCTGCTCTTTGCAGGCAGATAGGTTGCGTTTTCTTTGCTACTGCAGCTACTGTTTTTTTTCCTTGCATATTTGCATTTTCTGCCTTGGATTTGCAGCCAGTCTCATGGCAGAGCAGATGAATCTGGCAGTAGGAGAGAGCGCAGCAAGGAACTGCGTTAGAGCTCACTTTGCTTAATGGCGTAGGTCCCCCAGGGATTTGAGTAGCGATGGGCACATAAGGAAGAAAAACTGGATTTTAATGAGAAATGGCTTGGCATCAGCATCAAAACAGGTGTATTAAAAGAACCTGGGACTGAAGGAGTTAAGTCATATCCTGTTCGCAGAGATGGCAGTGAAACAACATATGCTGAATGCGCACTTCTTTTTTTTCGGTTGTTGTTCTTATTTGCAATGACAAATAACATACTTCCTTTTAGCTTTGAGTATTTCATAACCCTGGGGTTGGTGATGAATATACAGTTTACACTGAAAGAACTGGAATCATAGTGCAAGAAGGCAGGACTCGATGTGGTTCACAGAGCACTGTGACCTCTGCGATGATTATTAATCAGTCAGGCTTTCAGGGACACGTCCACAAGCCCAGATATAGCACTTGCTTACTCTTCTCTCTTTTTTCCCTGATAACTGTGATATATGAACCTCTGGAAAACACTTCTGTCAAAGTACACTAAATTCTGTTTGCTCTAAAGTCAAATGTTACTGAGTTTGGTACCCTCCTCAGTAGGCTGCTAATTTGAGTCACAGAGCTTTGTTTCACACAGCCTGGAGTGGAATCTCACCAGTGTTTAACAAGCTCACATCTGTCTCCTGAAAAGTGAAATGGACAATTTTGGGGCAAGTGGTCTGGTCATCTTGGATGGAGCAGAGAGGGCTGCCTCACCAGGGTGTCTTAGAAAATATTTTACTCAAAGGAAAGGATTTGCTCTGAAGGAATGAAAAGAGATTTGGGACAGACTACTGGGTTATTTTGCATTTACAGCACAGTCTGCCTTTACACAGAATTTGTGGTTGCCCCAGATAGTGTTATATATGAACAGAGCAAAAGAGAGAAAAAAAGGTACTCTTTTTAATTATTTCTGGGTTCTTATGAATATAATAGGAGCAAAATATGTAACTTTCCCTCCATTTTTTTTTTTCTTTTCTGCTCAGGAGAAGGTAGCCTAGCTTCAGGCATTGTAAAACAGCAATAATGTTAAAATGATCAAGTTTACAGCTTTTAGTGTAAGTGATGTGGAATAGTCATCACCATCTTATTGGCCTATCAGCAGAAATGTGACCATCGTGCATAATGGTTTGTTAGCCAGCTCTTTAGGGTGCCTCTATAGAGAATTATATATATTACCCCTTGTCACCCTCTGCAGAACTTTAATCCTTAAGCACTAGAGTCTGTGTTTCTGAACTTATCTTTTTGGCAAGTGGAGAGGCATTTTTTCATTGAAGGAGGTTGCTGAGAAATAATCCATGTTACCTTCATGGTGGCTTGATGACCCAGTGAAAACATCATTGAGCAAGATGAGAGCTGTGTGCAATTTCCCTTGATGCAGTAAATCAAATCTTTTCATCACCGTTTGGATAGGTAGGAGAGAGACTAACGAATCTGTCCTGTTTGAGGTCATTTCCACAAGACTCATATCTCCCCAGCAGGATTTTGCTTGTGGATTGGTTGGTACACATGCTGGAGGTCTATTCAAATCCGTCATGTTTTGGTGTCAAGTGACTAGTCTCCAAAAAAGAGCTGCAGTCCCCAAAGCTAAAAACTCTGTTGCGTGAAGCCAAGGGGGACCACACTGACCATGTTTGGTCCTGGATGCTCTAGTGGAGCAGCCGCCCCTACTGTGTACCTGCATGGATGCTTCAACCTTGACAAGCTTTTCTGTTGCTGCATTTCTTTGGAGGTTGCTGAGTATATGAACATTGCTTGTGCCCCAGTAGAAACCTGATGCACAGAGATATTAAATACTCTAGGTACCGATATAGAGTATAGAGAAATGCATATAGACCAGGCAAAAAGAGGTGACATTGATACTGTATGGGACATACATCACTTGGAACTAAGCAGAAATCCAGGTTTAGGGGGTGTCAGCAGGGACTCTTCAAAAGCACTATATTCCCTTAAAATTAAGGAAAAAAAAAGATGTTAAAAGAAATGCTTATTTTTCTATATTTTTATTTTCAGGATGAATAAGAGATATTTACAGAAAGCAACAAAAGGAAAACTGCTAATAATAATATTTGTTGTAACACTGTGGGGGAAATTAGCATCTGGTGCGAATCACCACAAAGGTAAGGACTCTGCTCTGTTTCGCTATATTGTTGTATATGTATCTTGCATCATTAAATTCAGAAGCAACCAGTTTATGGGACCTGTTTTTCATTATGCTTATTTGTGACTCCTGCTACTTGTCCACAAATCAGTGTCAAAGGAGGAGTGTTTTCAGTGAACAGTAGTTTTTAAATTTACTGAGAATTTAAGTATTTTGGTCCAGTTTTCAGCACTGTCTGATTTTAGCATCTTCTTGGTCATTTTTTATGCTTGTGCGGTTGAAATGATGACAGTAAAAGAGGATAGTAAGGTTGGAAAAAAGCAAATAAAAAAATGCCTTTCATAAAGAGAGATGCATCCAATGGCACATATATGTGCTGCAGATGAATTCCTGGAATTAATCTTGAAAGTGAACATCTTTAATATCACAAATGCCTATACTTTATATAGAAATCTGTCAAGGATGCCTTTGTGGAGAATCTGTGCTGAATACAGTTGCTGTTTCACCACTGAAAAAAAAGACCCTTGCTTTCTGGTGTTTCTGTCACCCTGTTTATGCCAGTGCTTTTTTCTTAGCTCTGGACCAGCAGCTCTAGTAACTTTGACAATGTGGGATTTGTTTCCTGCTGGCTGTTCCAGCCCCTAAAATGCATACATACAAGACCTGACAGTTTCTAGAAGCTTGTAGAAAGCTCTCCTTTTCTATTTTCTTTCTGTGTGTGCGGCTGTGGCGCTCTAATGCAAGGAACAAGTTCCCCAGATTCCTGAATTAATGTCTTCTTATAGGCAAATATAACTTAAAATGTGATGTGCACTGTAATTTGATTTTGAAATTCACTCCTCATCTTCATCTAGTGTCTGATGACTATTAATTCTCCTTTTTCAGATCAAAATAAGCAGCACTGATTGATTAAACTAGGTGCAGGACATGAACATTATTGAGGGCTAAGGAGTTAAATATTAAGGAATGATGCTAATAAAACAAGTCACTCCATCTCTCTATGTTAATTTACATTTTATAATGTTCCCTCTGATGATAGGATTTTCTGAGCAGCTATATTATATATCTATCTGCTAGATATTTTTTTCTGCTGTGCAGAGATATTTTTCTTTGAGATACCTCACTGATTAAAGACTTCAGGATGCAGAGGCTCTTTCCACAGAATCTCTCGCGAGTTGCAATTTGGCTGCAGACAAAACCGGTTCTGATGGGATGCTGCAAGCCACCGCAGATTGGCATCCTGCCAGACAGGAACTGTGCTGATGCCCCTTGCTCAGCTTGTTACCCTCAGAACGGGAGTACAGATCTGTGCTGTGACTTGTCACTTTGGTCGCCCACTGGAAAAGAGCCAGAGTTATATCTGCGGGGATGCAGGATTTTTTTTGTCTTTAATTATCTCTCTTTAAAAATCAAAAAGCCCATACCCGTATCATTTTGATTCTACCCACAGAGGCTGGCCAAGCTGTGTGCACCTCAGTCTAATTTCAGTTTGGCTAAGCTGCTTGCCCCTTTTTTTGAAAAGCTGATGACTAAAACCTGTCGCCTAGTATTTCATGAAAAATGATAATCCCAAGAACTTTGAGGGAATTAATGCTTCATAATTGAGAATCAAATGATCCCCAGCAATTTTAGTTTTCTGGATATATTCATGCACAGGAAACCCCAGCAGAACTATATTATTTATTATCTGGACATTACTTGGCATTTTGAGCCCCAGCCTTAGAGCAGAAATAACTTGAAAAGTATTAAATTTGATAGTCTTAGATTAAAAATATGCACACAAACCCACTGTAAAACCAGCTTTCTAGCTCTAGGGACTGCTGTATGTTCCTACAGGTTAACAAAAGCTTTGGTTCTTCTTTTGCTTTAAGTTATAACTTTTCTAGCCTTTAGCAAAAATATATGAAGAAGTCTTGCAGGGAACAATAAAAAGAAGAAGCATGACTTGGGTGTTTAATTTAGAAAAGCAGCTATTGTACATGTTCAAGTTCTTTTAGAAAGAAAAAATATGCAGGAGGATTTTAGCTTGTGGTTTTAGCACATCTGCAGAGCAGTTGCACTCATCATATATGGGCAATTTTCAAGGCACAAATCAAACTGGGAGATGAACTTCCCATTGTGCCAAAGAAAAAATTTCCCCCTATTCTACTAAAAGAAGCCAAAGTGCAGTGAAGAACATGACACTCTTCACCTTTGAATGCAGTTTCCAAGTACTGAGAAAAGTGAGAGTTTCTTCAGTGATAATTATTCCTTGAATCATTAATCTTCATTTACAGAAATTCCTATCAGCATATTGACATGATAAATTCTAATGACTTTGAACGAGCCCCTACAATTTCATAGATCAATAATCTACATTTAAAAAAAATCTTTACTTTCCTATTAACTTAGTCATACTATGCATCAGTGGCACCAATTCTTAAACCCATACTTTTTTTGTTTTTTCTTCTCTGAAGGCCATTTAAAAAAAAAAAAAAGGAATGATCATTAATGTGTGAAAAATTGCATAATGAGCATGCTGCTCTTCAGACAGACTTCAGCAGTGGTATAAACATCTGATTTTGACAGGATGTTTATACCTAAATATCTCTAGGTTTGTTGCATTATTTCAAGTACATGTCACAGATGAGAAATTTCAGGTCAGCAGCAAGAAAAGCAAAGGTCTAGGCAAGGCACGTGGGACCAGACTCCGAGGTCCAGGTTGAAGCTGCAGCCACCAAGTTTACCATCTGGAATTTTAGGTTAATTCTTTTTGGTGTCAGATGAGTAGTCAGTAAGTCTATCCTTCTTTCTATTAAGAAGGAGGCACTTCTGTTTCCTTAGCTGATTGTTATAGGTAATAACCACGTGAGTTGGCTCGTGTTGCTTTTCATGTGTTTGCCCTCTTGTATTCCCTTTATCCTATCTTCTAAAAAGGAAAATGAATTTTGCCTTTCCATTTTTTTGGGAGGCTTTGATTCGACAGTGATGGTGTCTTACTTCGGCAAGTGTGTCTATGAATCAGCCTGCAGAACTAGATACAGTTGTGCTGCAGCAGCTGTGTACAAGGAGGCAAATAAAGAATGGAATATCAGTCTCCAAAAGGATGTTGCAAGGTTATGCATCTAAAAACTGATCTACCTCAAGGGTGGCTTTAACTGAAAGATTTTTACTTCAAGAAATCCATAAGGGCATTTTATTATCAGACTGATCTTGCTCCTCCTCACTAGCCTTTGGAAAACAAATAAGCCTCTGCAAATATATAGTGTTCCCTGACAGAGATGGCAGGCAGGCATCAGTTCAGCATCACTGCTTGTTTGCTATTTCTATCATAGGGAACATGAATTGATTTGGTGAACATTGTATCACAACACATTTTTAAGGTTTCAGATATAAGGAATGGAGAAAGAAATGCACTGACAGCCAGGTATAGACACTCTTCTTTAGACAAGAGGCTAGCATGAGATGCAGTTCTTAGCCAACAACTACACACTCTCTCAGAATTAGGATTTCTCTGAGCTTTTTGTGATTATAAAAGGGATTTCTTTTTGGCTTTCATAATGTCAGTGATCCAAATAAAATAATTAAGGGCAGTTTTGGATATAGTACAGACTGCTTTCCAATTACATAACCCTTGCTGCATACACCTGCCTTTCCCAGCTGACTTGCTGGGGCAGGAACAAGACTCAGATGAGTGCTGTGAGCTGGGACATAGCAAGTACAGCACATGCACCTGAAATCTGGGGGTGGGAATAGGAATATGAACCTGGAAACCCATTTTAGCTGTAACACGCTCCTGTTTTCAAGTGGCTATGAGGTGTTTTTTGACTTGGCTGGACCTTCACTACTGGTTGTTTTTCTGATCACAAGATTTCTTTTGTTTTGTGAGAAGAGTGCAAGTAAGATGAGCAAGACAGTCCTGCAAGACCTAAGGAATTGGCAAAAAAAAAAAAAAAAAAAAATCTTCATGGAACTGAGTTAGAATTGCAATTTAATTGTAATTACTGACTCTAGGCATCTGATTTTAGCCTGTATATAGTTAAAATAATACTTACCTTACAAGTGTCTTTGAATGACTCATTATTTCAGGAAAACCATAAGAGATAAGGTCAGCTCTGGACTGACCCTCTGACCCTCTGGACTGTGGAATTGATTTGTTCTGAGGACAGTTAATACAGAGCTTTGTTAAAAGGAATGGTAATGGCCTGTGTGCATTCCCTCACAGCCCTCATACGTGCTTCATGCACAAGGGCCATGACTCACTGGTGAGTTAGAAGAGCTTCTTAGGCTTAATGCCTTAGTTCTACCATCCTCATTGCTCCTAGAGCAGCACAAGAGACTGGAGGCGTGCTAGTGAATCTTGTGGAGTACTTTGGAAACTGTTAGAGCTGTGAACTGGGCTTTTAAGATAGTTGATCCTTTGAATTTTCTCCTAGCCAAACTTAACTTCTTATTGTTATCCTCTGACTGACATTCATCTAGCCACTTATGGGTAACCCTATTACTATGCATGTGCTTCCGTGTTCAGCGCGGATATTATTTAATATCTAATGCCAATTTATTACTCCCTGGGCAAAACCTTATCATCAGAAGTATCTCTTGTACCTTACAAGCATGGATAAATGTACCTTAGATGTTTAATAAAGATGATACCTAAGTGGAGAAGCTTCTCAGTGCTGATGAATAGTTCTGATTATTTGTCTTCCTGATTTGCTGTTTGCTGTATATTTTAAATCTGAAGCAGCAGAGTGGAAGAATGATTGCCTCATGCTGACTGCTATTGCAGTCCAAATGAAACTGTCTTGAGTGAGCTGGGAGAAAGCCTCCTGAGGGCATGTTTGCTCAGGTAGAAAGGGAGAGAGACCAGTTTGCAAGAAGCCTACAGCAAGAGTAAAGACAGTGAGAGACTGCTGTGAAGATCAATGATCAGAGAAAAAGCTGAGCTTAGGAAGTGATGGAAGAGAAGGGGGTCTTAAGGAACCAGAGGTGAAGTGCATGGTGTTGCTGGTCTGAGGGTGGCCTTGCTTGGAAAAGACCATC